AATTTGTATACGGGGTAAAAGCGGGAGTTCATAATCCACTTGAATCAAACCGTGTAATATGATGTATTAAGAACTATGTAATGTTATGAACGACCAATAAAAAAAAAAAAATAAATAAATAAATAAATAAATAAATAAAACTGTAAGTTAGTGTTATGGTCTAGATATGTGATACTCCCCAAAGCTTCTGGGTTAATGCATGAATATTTGGAGATGAAATGATTGACTTATGAAAACTGTAATCTAATCAGTCCCTCCTAGTTTGAATTATTACATGGCTGGTAACTGTAGGCAGGTGAGGCCAGAGGAGGTCAGTCAATGGAGGGTGTGCCCTGGAAGACCTGGATGAGTTTATTACACCAGAATCTCCTTTCCCTTTCTCTCTCTGCTTCTGGCCATGATTAATTATGCAGCACTCATTTACCACATACCATGATGTTCTGCTTCTATTCATCTACTTACTTACACCATGATGTTCTGCTTCACTTTGGGTCTAGAGCAATGGACTTTGCCAACCATGGACTAAACCTCTGAAACTCTGAGTCAAAACAAACATTTCCTCCTCTAAGTTGTCCTTGTCAGATATTTTGTTTTCAGCAATGCAAAGCTGACTAACACAAAAATTGGTATCAGGAATAGGGATTTTGCTGTGCCTAACCTGCCCATATGATTGAAAAGCCTTTGAAATGGTTTGTGATAGGGGTTCAGAAAATTTGGACATACAAGCTGGAGAAGCCTTAAAATATTGTAAGCAAAGCTTAATGAGCTATTACGGTGGAAATTCAGAAGACCAAAATGCAAACAGGGCATGACATTAAGGACGGTGCTCAAGAGTTTTCAGAAGGAAATGAAGACTCTCTTGGGAATTGGACTAGAGGACTTTCATGTTACCTTCTGGCAAACAAATTGTCTATATTTATTTAGCCCATGTCCTCAGATTTTCTGGGAGGCTGAATTTAAAGGTAAAGGATGAATTAATCTAGTGGAGGAAATTTCGTGACAGTACATCATTCATTCAGGTGGTGTTATGTATTATTCTGATTTTGGCCAGGTTTACTGTAAGAATCAGGAGCAGAAAGGAGAGAAGGGGGATTTTTAAAAACTTGGAGTTTGGTTAGAAAGTGTGTGTAAAAGTCGGGCCAAGAAAACTGTGGTTGTTGATGACATTATAGCCACTAAAGAGGAGATGCTAAGTACTTTACACAGAGACAGTAGGGAAGGTAGTTTGAAGGCATCTCAGGAATTCATAAGACGACACCAATTGCAGGTTCAAGGATATAGAAGGAAAAATTCCTTTGAGAAGAGATTGTGGGTGCACCTTGCTCACATATTTGGGCCTAGGAAGTTTTTTCACGCTTTTCAGCTGCTTAGGCACTCAGAGGCTACTATAGCCATGATCCCAGGTAACCAACTCCTGCACAAGCTAGCAGCAGACGTTGACATCATTCATGTACTACCGATTCTGCAAGAATGCAAGATGCTCTAGTTAAAGGTTCATAGAGGCTTTCAACTGAGATTGCAAAGGAAGGTCTGTGAGACTAGGCAAAGTGTAGGATTGTTGGAATCCCTGAAGGCTGCCCCTGAGAGGGTGATGAATGAATCTTTAAAGATGAATAGAATCGAGACACCAGAAATTCAAAGATGCCAGTAGTGTGGACTATCTGCTGAGAAAAGTTCCTGACTACAGAGAAAGCCAGGCTAACAGAGCGGCCATGTGTGCTACAACTCACAAGACCAGTCAGTGCTGCTGCTCTAGTCTTTTGGAGATGACATACCACAGCCATGTGTCTTAGATGTTATAACGGGAGTTATGGGAGCTGTTTGCCTGTCTGGGTTTGGGTCTTTTTTTGGTTCCGTGCTTTCTTTCTATGCTGCTATTCCTCCATTTTGGAATGGGGATAGTTACTCTGTGCCATTTTATATTGGATATCTATAATTTTCTTTTGATCATTACAGGTGCTCACACCTAAGAGTTTGCCTTAAGTCTCAAATGAGATGTTGGAATATGACTTTTGGGCACTGCTCTAACTTTTACAACAATGGGGACTCTTGCAGATGAACTAAATGCATTATGCATTGTGAGATGGACATGAGCTTTTGTGAGCTAGGTTGTGTGTGTTATGGTTGAAACATTAGGTTTCCCACAAAGTTCGTGTATTAACGTAGCAATATTTGGTGGTGAAATGATTGCATTGTGAGAGTAGTAGCCTAACTAGCACATTTCAGTTTGAATGGGCTAACTGGGTGATAACTATAGGCAGGTGGGGAATTGCTGGAGGAGCTGGGTTACTGGGAGAATGCCCTAGAAGGGTACATCTTCCCTCTACCCCTTTCCTTCTTTCTTTGCTTCCTGGCTACCATGTTGTAAGCAACACTCCTTCTGCCATGATGTTGCCTCACCTTGTGTCCAGAGCTGTGGACTCAACTGGCGACAGACTCAATCTCTGAAATCATGAACCAAATTAAACAAAATAAACAGATATTTTTTTCATTGCTGTGATCAAAATACTCCACAAAAAATAACTGAGATAAGGAAAACTTTATTTTGGCTCATAGTTTCAGAGGTTTAGTTCAAAAGCTGTGGAAGCAGTGTAACCTCTCGAATACAGCTGCTAAATGTGGGCATTGTTTTTCAGACTTTTTCCAAAGGAACTTGTGTGTGCATAAGCGTGTGTTTTACTGGGGCTTGGATCCAGAGTATAAATGAGCTGGCCAAGTGCTCTGCCACTCCACTACATCACCACTCATCATTTTGGTTTTATTTTGAGACATTTTAGTCTTGCTTAGTTGTCCAGGCTACCTTTGAACCTGTGAACCTCCTGCCTCTGTCTCTGGAGTAGCTGTGTTTTCAGGCATGTGCACCTATGACTGACCCAACCAAACATTAATACTTTTATAAAACTATATTGTATTGAGAAATGCTGTGTGTCATACACAAACATGGAAGGAATTATAAAACTATATGATGCCGCAGTCCTGCTGCAGCAAAATAACCAGGGGGGGAGGGGGTGACGAACAACTTGTTTAGATTGATACAGCAGGAGTGGGAGCTGTTTATTGTAGGACAGGAAGGTATATATAAATTCCACACAGCTTATCTTAATTAACATAAACTAGATACAGCAGTCAACCAATAAGGAATCTCCACACTTAATGGCTCGCTGGCATTACTTCACAAACCACTCCCTCTGGCAAAATGCCAGGCGCCATCCTGACTTGTTTATAGACCCTAACAATATGAGATTATGCTGGAGGAACTGGGATATTTATTTGCCTATCCATCTACATTTCTTCTCTGGATCTCTATATATAAATCTCTCTATTTTAGATAAAATACAGATGGTAATCCTAAAGACATATATTGAGAGGGATAAATAATCAACATATACATACATTCTTTCCCTCTCCCCTTCTCTGTTGAGAGAAACATGGTGGCTTTTGAGGTTATTGATTTAAGAAAAATATGTGTTTGGTGGATATAGACAGATATGTTTGTGCATTATTCGTGGGTTTACCCTCCAGTTTCATTGCATGAGTATTTCCATATCTCTCTCTCTCHCACACACACACAAACACACCAGAAATATCTATTTTTGACCACATGCTACAAAGTAAGAACCACTAATAGAGCTTGAATCTTTTGTTTTACAAATAAGAGGTATATCATAAAGAATTAGTCACAGAATCTAGATCCCCAGACTCCTGATTTTTGTTCTTGCAGCTGTTCAAAAATCTTCAGACTGTATGATCCAGATCATATTAAGAAACACAACTTAGCCCCATTCTCTATGACCATGCCATGTGGTGGTTTGTCTAGAGGGTCTTAGGTTATGGTGACACCTCCCTCCCCCTACATATTAAAACCACTGTGAGATTGCAAAACCTGATCCCAATTTCTTCACTAATGCAGTTATAGCAAACAATGGGCATGTGGATATGTCTGAGAAGTTTCCTTACATAGTAGAATTTTGACCATTTTTGTTGCCTGTATCTCTCCATCTCAGCAACTCAGAAATCATTCATAATTACACATAAAGGAACATAGTTGTTAAGTGGAAATGTTCTTTTGCAGTAAATGTAAAAGAGAAAACTGTGTGATAATTCTACATGGTTACATGGAGGGAAACAATGAAATTGTGACCCTATTTGGTGACATTTCATTCTGATCTTTGTTAGCCTAAATATTATAGTGTTATTTGTGTAAAAAACAATCTCAAATACAAGGTGACTTAGGCAGCTGGTCTGACCCTTTCTTTTCCTTCTAAGGGCTGAAATTAGAGCCAGGGGATTTCTTCATGAAGATGTTTATTGTTTTGCTGGTGGCTTATGCTACCAGCTCCATGGCGCTGGTCCTAGGAGCAGGTGAGAAGTCGATGGATGTAGAGACATTTCTCGTGAACATCACCTTGCGGTTATGACGGTGAGTGTGAACTGTACTGCTTTGAGAGGGGAATTTTTCCCTTTGTTTCTTCCCGTTCCTTCACCTTTTCTATAAAACCTGCTTCGAGGATTCTGTACATGAGTCTTGGATACTCTCACGATGCCATAGAATGAGATACTGTTTAGAGAATGTACCAGCTTTCCTACTAATATTCTAGTGAAGTTACTAAAACTTTTAACCATATCTTCACTAAAGAGCTTTTAAAAATACTTCTTGGTAACATATTATGAACTATTGATAAACTGGAAACGGGAGTTGTGATTGGGCGATTCCCTCATAAAAACAAAAGTCCTGTTTCTGACTTTCATGTGAGTGTTAGAGAATTTCTAGATGTTTAACTAGCACATGTATTTTGGTTGGATTCACTACTCTCCCAAGTCAAAGTGAAGCTCTGTGAGAATTGTTACAGTGTGCAGCCTGGGGAGGCTAAGTTGAGTGCTTCTTGTAGTTTCAAAAGGAATGTTTGACAACAGTGGAAAATTCCCACATCTGCAGTACAAGATCACATACTTTCTGGTTTCCTGAGGATCTCTTGTATTAATATACTTTTGCTCATCTTTTGTTTTTAATGGTTACTGGGTTCTAATCTTACATGCCCCTAAATTTGCACTCACATTGATGAATCACAGATGTATGGAACTAGTTACCACATTTCCCCCCTATGATGTCAACTGAACTGTAGATCTTAGACTGTTAATACACACATCCTATCTGCTACAATTGGAGGATATGTCACTCAATGGTAGATAATTAGCATAAGCTCTTTCTAAAGTATGATTCTTCCATTTCTGAATCTGGCAACTACCAATGTATATCATTGGGAAAGCAGTAAGTGTTGTTTATAGTGTCCATGCTGTCATCTAGTAAATAAAATGTCCTTAAATAAATAAAGATGGTTTGTTTTGCTTGACTTATTTGATGTTTTATAGATTATTAGGCAAAGGTTTCTATATAGAACTTTAAAACCAGTCATAAAACCACATTTCATTGAGTGATGTTGTGTTATATGCTTAGCACTTGGTTAGGTCAAGTCTAAGTATATGCAGATACACCACAACCTTGTCCTTGTTCTGTATATCCCAGTGCACCTCACACCTATTAGGACAAGTGTTATATAATCTCATAACTGTCTTTTGTGTGTTTCCCAAAGTCCTTCCTGGCATCTCCACCGAGATACTGTTTTCTAATAGCTTTAATGGGATCAACCACATTTTCTGATGGATTTCATCACCTTATGCTCTTTATCTGTTCTAGGCTTTGAGTTACTTTAAACCTGCATTCAGAACTCCAAATTACTCCTAAAGTCATAGAGAGTGCAAAATTTTGTAAATAACAATCTGAATACATGGAAGTAGAGAGGACTGTGTGATGTTCAGGGTTATTCTGGTACATTTTTCTATATTGCCAGGTTCATTAGGGGAACAGATAGTGGAGGCATAATTCAATTAGTCAGTACAGTTGGACCTTCTTGCCCACCAATTTTTATTGAGAGATTCAACCAACCTTGAATAGAAACTTTCAAAACAAAAATTGTGCCTGGAATGGAACCACCATTTGATCCAGTTATCYCACTCCTTGGTTTATACCCAAAGGACTACTATAGTGACACAGCCACATCAACGTTCATAGCAGCTCAACCACAATATCTAAACTATAGAACTAACACAGATGCCCTTCAACAGATGAATAGATAAAGAAAATGTGGTATATATACACAATTGAGTATATCTTAAAGAAGAATTAAATTATAACATTTGCCTATAAATGGATGGAGCTGGAGCTAGAGAACATCATGCTAAGTGAAAGAARCCAATTTCCCAAAACCAAAGACCAAATGTTTTATCTGATGTGTGGATGCTAATTCACAAAAGGGGTGAGGCGCTAGGGAAAAATAGAGTTACTTTGGATTAGGGAGAGGGGAGTGACGGAAGGGGAGGGATTTGGGAGTAGAAAATACAGTAGAATGAATCAGCTATTTTACCCTATGTGCATATATGACTACACAACAGGTGTGATTCTACATCATGTACAACCAGAAGAATGAGAAGTTATAATGCATTTATGTATGATGTGTCAAAATGCTTTCTACTGTCATGTACAACTAATTCGAACAAATAAAATATTACCTATATTGTGTATATATATATATATATATATATACACACATATATATATGTGTATATATATATATATTTTCCTTTCTTGTCATAATATATTTTCCAAGTTTCATGTTGTATCAGGTATCAAAATATATATTAAAATGATTTAAAACGTACAGGATATGTATATTTAAATCATGAAGAATGTACAGCATTACATATGAGTGTCATGGTATTTTAAAAATATGTGACATGACCATCTGTACATTTTTGAGGCTGTGAGTGGGGGTGGAGTGGTCCTGTAACCAATTCCCGATGGATACTAAGGRATTGAGTGTACTTCTTAATCTTCCATTATATGCAGTTATACAGAAAGTTGAGAATGTCCTCTTGATAATTAAGGATTGTTCAAATAAGTGAAATAGATAATATGTATTGTAGTTATATTGTTCTTCCTTTAATATAATAAACTACTGTAGTTATGCAGAGGTATACACAAAGGATTAGGATAAGTGTTTAGAAGTAAGTGGAAGAAATTTCAATGAAGAGTTGATCCTAGCAGAATGTTTAGAAGGTTGTAGGGTTCTTGGAAAAGGTCTTGTCAAGAATTCCTCCTGAAAACACTGAACCAGTCCTGACTCTTGGGTTTTGCTTCTTGTAGATTTTCTTGGGTATAACGCTGAATTTTGAAACGGTAAAGCCTTGGTTSTCCTGGCTCCAGTACTTCAGTATTCCTTACTATGGCTATATGGTAAGTTGTCTTCATCTGTTATTGTGGGGAATAGCTTGGGAAAACTGGGAACAATCAAAATAAAGCCTAATCATTTCGTTTCCTCGGCCATGAGCTGTGAATCTCTTCCATCCCAGAACTGTGTTTCAGGAGCAAAGCATGAGTATTTCTTGTTAGCCTTGGCTAACACAAGGTCAGGGGTTTTTCTAGGGTTACCCCAGTTACACAATTGTTGGAGAAAGATGAAAGCTGAAGAGAAAGGTTGAAGAAGAAAGTTGACTCATTAATGAAAAACATTTATGTTTTAGTTCAATAAGGAAAAAAATGAAGGATGGGAGACTGGAACATAGCTTGTACTATAAGGGAAATTAGAAGAGAAATAAAGACCGTAGAATACTCAGAGCCATACTGGTTTTAGCAAGTTAGTCGGCTTCAAAAAGTTATCTGTGACGTTACACAGTGTAACCTGGTCTTGATAAAAACAAACAAGAAAAGATCATTTCCATATTTGAACAATGTTCATTGAGCATCATTGTATTATTCTAATTATAATGTTTATGAGGTTATACAACTGGAAGAAAAAAAGGAATGAAGTAAGGCATAATATAACCAGAGGTTTCCCTTTATTCCAATGTTAACCTTCTTGGTTGCCATGGAAAATTCTTCAGTTGCCTTGCTGTGACAAAGTTTTCATAGTGAAACTTGGCATTTTTTTTAGAATAATAAAGACTGAACTTGAGGACATAAATGTGATAATTCTTTGACCACTGGGTTTTGTTTTGTTTTTAGTAGTAGGGATTGAACTCACACCTGACATATGCTAGGCAAGCACTTTACCACTGAGTTGTTTTCTCAGTATTTTAAAATTTTTTWTTGTGAAACAGGATTTGACTACTTGAGTTGCCCAGTTTGGCCTTSAACTTGTCATCCTCCTGCATGAGCCTTTCCACTATCTGAGATTATAGGTRTGCATCTCTGCACCTTGCTTTTGGAAAAATTTTGAAATTTGGAACTGTTTACCTTTCCTTGTTCTCCTTGTGCTATAGGCTTTGCTGCATAATGAATTTTTGGGACGAAACTTCTGTCCACGACTTAGTCCAACAGAAAGCCGTGGCTGTGCCAGCTATGTGATGTAAGTTTCCCWTCAATGTCATAATGAGATTTCTTAACACTGCCAYGAGATGAAGAAAGTCCCCTGGGCTTAAAGCTGGTATGAGACCTTTCAGGGTCAACAAACCTTTCTGACCCTGTTTTCTCACCCATAAAGTGAATCATGGTGCACTAGTACATGTGCACATGTTGTACTTGTATTCTACTATTTAATGTGAAGAAATGTTCATTTTGGAACTTTTGAAGGATTGTTTTGATGTTTTGATTGTGGGGTGAATTCTCATTTCTTCAGAACATTTCACTTTGAAATGGGCTGTTCCTTGTTTAACAAGGGTTTATATTCTCTGAGCTGAATGGATTATATGGAGCCTGAGACCCCAGCACGTGCACAGCAGGAAGAGCTAAGTGGGGGATGGGAGCATAATGGAGTGAACATTGGCCCCAAGAGGCTGGTCCTTTCCTCAGCTCCTGCACTTAGGAGACATCATGAAATCACAGGCTGTACACTTGTGTACACTTGTGTGACTGTGAGTTGTATGCAAGTAAGCTGGAATACCCCCTATCAAAGGATGTGTACTCTCTTAAAGAAGGAAGAACACATTTCAGCAATTGAGAAGGAAGTCCCATTTTTGCATAATGTCATCAAAACAGAAATGCAGGTTATAACAAAATCAGAGGATATTGGTTTAAAATTTTAGAAATACTTTCCTTTTCTAGGATGTTAATTATTTCATTTTGTTCCAGAAATGAGTAAAAGAAAATTTGCATATCAATTTATATTTGAAGACTGACAGGGAAACTTCTGTGGAAAGGGGTTTTCTTTACCCTGCCCACTCTCTTTTGTGGGATCTGGTTGTGGCATCTTTGTAACACAAAGTCAGTGCCACACTGCTGATGAGTAGATGGGAAAAGTGGGACAGACAGGGAGAAGCCACCACAGACTTCATGACCATTAAGGCTCATGTTCACAAGAGGAAGGAGGATCTTCCCTTACAGCAAAGAGAAGCCAGGGATGTTTTTTAARCYAAAATTCCAGAAGATGCCYAAGAATGGCAATAGGCAACAACTGCARCTGAACCTGGTGTTTTAGTGTCAGCTGCTTTTCTAACCTGTGCCAGGACCACTCCATCCTGCTGTGCTCTAACTGGTACTTAGGRTTGRAGTCTGATTCCTGGCCTTGCTGGKGATGTCCCGTTGCTGAGTATCTKCGATGTTCATTACAGTCTTGGTGCCAGAACTGCCAGACATGGCTCTTGTAGAAGTCCCTTGCTCCCTTCTGGTCCTAGTTTTTGAATTCTTAASCTGTATTTTTTGCATGGCTGTCTTGTGGKTGAGCAGAAGTTMAAGGATCTTTATTTAGCCTGGTAAGGAGCACAGTTATCATCAGGTAAAGCTGAGGGTTCTCCATTGGGAGTAAGTAAAAAGTTACATGATCAATATTTCCTTTGAAGAGAGTAGCATTATGGATTTGGAAATGAATGTGTTTGAGAAGGCTAGAAATTTGGTTCCCAGTGGGAATCTGTAAAATTGGCCAAGTTAGTTAAGCCTAATTCCAACCCACTTTTAAATGTGATAATATGTATATACTGCTGGATTATGTAGGATTTAACTAAGCTCTTAGGTACAAGTTGCTCAGCATGGTATCCAGCCAAATTGTAAGCACACAACAACTGTTAGCTATTATATGTGAAGGGGTAACTACTCATAATTTGATTAAGCTATAGGTTTCTCTAACAAAGTAGTAGTGAATACAGTCAATATAATTTGATGTTTGGTAGGAATATAGTTAATTTTTGTGTGTGTTGAATTTCAGATGTACAGGAGAAGAATACTTGACAATGCTTGGCATTGATCTCTCACCTTCCAGCTTGTGGAAGAATCTTCTGGGTTTAGCTTGTATGATAATTTTATTCCTCATAATTACATACCTAAAATTGATATTTCTGAAAAATCATTTTTAAATCCCCCTTATTTACTATAAATTAAATTTACTATAAATTAAATTTTCACATTAAAAGTAGCACCTTG